CGTGTTGCAGTAGGATGTCGACAGTCCATACAGAGCGTGGAGAGAATATGAGGACAAAACGGTTCAAACGTTTTCTAGATATGATGTTGCATGATCTCATTAAATATGCGATAAAAGAATCGGTACGAAGCTGTCTCCTAATTTTTAGGCACTGGGAAATCGCTTATCTTCGCAAAAATTATGGAAGTACAACAGCTCAAAAAACAGTATGACTTGAAAATGGAACAAAATCATCGTGGCACACCTGGTGTATCTGTGTCGAATACTAATTATCGTCATGCAATTTTGAATGAAGTGAAGGAGTTATTCAGTTCATTTCTATTTCTAATTGGTTTTCCTGTTTTCATTGATTGATATAGATAACTGGTCCAGGTCTAACCAAATATTTAGATTCCAGCGGAAATATTTTTGTTTTAATTGATGAATTCGATGGAGATCACAAGCTGGGAATGTTCAACAAGGAAACGAAATCTAACAACCTGAAGTAAGTCAGCTCTCTGGTGGAATCATCGCAAGCGTGTGTTCGCTTACTTGATATGTGATCAGTTGAGAACTTTTTCTGAAACATACCGTATTGCGAACAACATGTCTTTATACAAGCATATCTATACGAGTTCAACGTAAATATGTCTTACTTTTGCTTTCGTTTAGTTCTAGCGCAGCAAGCGTGCTGAAATCGTTTCATACCGGTATCCCATATTATCAAAAAGGGAAAGCTAGCGATACGGGTCACCTTGAAAATCCACAAGTATCGTTTCTAGCTGCTAGTAATGGAGTAAGTCCACCAATATGAGATGCCCTTCTCTTTACTGAATTTTTATTTTTCACAGGAACCTGTGATGGATATTTTGCGAGCAAAAATCAAAACGGCTGTTATGCCGGATGCTCTCGTTATGAGAACCATTTTTGATGTGATCGATTCACCACCTAAGTTTAATGCTAACTACAAAGACAAATTGTTGCCACAGGGCGCCATTGGTTTAGAGTTACTTTTATTAGCATCGTCATTACTGTGCAATCAAACGTATGAGTTCGACACTGATAGTGATGGAAAGCAATCTGCCGATGATCTCCTTCAAGCTTGGCAAGACAACTGTATGGCAGCAAGTACGTTCAACCACCTATTAGTGTTCATCTTATGTTTCTTACAATATATATATATATATATATATATATATATATATATATATTAATCACTTTCCCAATTTTCAACGATAGATTTGAATATGATCAAAAAGATGAGAAATTGACTTGATTCTGTTATTCGAGACAAAAATATTTCATTTATTTTTCGTGTCTAATCTGTAACTCTAGTTGGAGACGATTTTAATCTTTGAGCAAATTTCCATCGAGTTGAGTGACCTTTCGTTCGAATTAAATTGCCTTTTCAAAGTACAATCATCTTAATTGAGACATTTTGTATAGGTGCACGTTGGAAAAATACGGACAAATGGATATCCTCTCGTTTTTCAAAAACATGCGAATTAACAGCACGCCTTGCAGCACAAATCACACATATCGATGTTGCCTATCGTGTTTTACAAGAATTTATTATTGAACAAAACTTACAGAGTCGTAATGGACCCGTTACGTTTAATACTTATTCTCAAATGGTTGATTTCTTTTATCGAAAATATCCACCGAACTCAACGAATCCAATCATCATATCAAGTACGTAAAATTGCGAAGCTTTCGACTGTCCAGGAATGGTTAGAAGCGAATTTTTCAGTAGAACAAATCAGATAATTGTTTGATATTTCATTTTGACATTTATTTAATGCTTAATCTTGAGTTTTTTGTGTCCGGTCATAATTCTAGCCGGTCAAGTAGAAGCTGCAATGTACGCAACGAAGATTATTTTATTGAAATTTTTCAATTTATTTGATATTTCCGTGAATCGATCGAGTCCAATATTAGAAATACCATGGGTTCCACCATCGACAAATTCTCATTCAAATCCTGCTCTTGTTCGACTTCCAGCTACTCAAACAAGTGTCGACGGAACAGTCGATGATCAATTTGCCCTTGACAAATATCAACTGATTTTATTGTATCCCAGCATATGTTTCACCTTTTCACAGGTAAATCCTTTGCTTTTTCTCAAGATATCGACAAACTAAAGGTTTTTGAGTATAGATTGTCAACGCATATCCTAAACTCAAATACAGATACGATTCCGTCGAACCCATGCTTGGCAAATTGATACAATTAAATTTGTTATCGAAATATGAAAATGGTATTCGATCAGGACGCAACGTAAGCAATTTGTATATTAAAGCTTTACCGGAATCGATAACAATGCATACAGTTAATTCGTTTGTCGTTGATACTCTTGATAGAGTGAAAATGCCATGGACTTTATACAAAGTAAATTGTGAAAAGGTTCTTTTACCTTCCGCATCAGCACTTCTGTCTGAAGAAGTTCGACAACTCTTCGAGCAAGACAATTATCGAAGGTAACCATTTAAAAAACAATCGTTTGAAAGATCATCACATATGATTTGCATAATCTCTTTGTAGAATTATTCAAAAGTACGAAACGATGGAGAAGAAAATGAGAAAAAAACAATCCGAATCGGCTAAGCAAACTAAACAATGTGCACTTAAATTAATCGATAATAACATTGCAAGTACACGAAGTGGTCTCAATACGTCATCGCCAAATGAAAATCCTTTCGAAGATGATTCACTAGAAGAAGAACAAGAAGCACAGGCAGAACCACTAGATAGAACAAAACATTTATCACCGACTTATGCTTCAACGGAACCAAATAATTCATCGTCTTCCATCACGACAAATTCGATTTTGTCTCAAGTGCCGTCATCAACCAACAATCTGATTAATTATCTTCTACCTCGTCCGCCACTTCCGATCTTACACAACTTCGAGCTCGAGAATGATATCGATCCATCTGTTATCGAAACGATATCGAATAATGGAATCAACGACGATCAATCAGTCGAGACAAATAATGAAAATGAAATTTCAAATGATTCTACACAACACACAAACAAAACAAGTCCAGTAAACATTCGTCGTGGCGCTCGTGTGCGAACAAAGAACAAACGATTTTTTTCACCTGAACCATCGGAACGCACCAGTACCGCAACTAACAAAAAAAGCAATACTCAAATGACAAATTAATAGATTTTTCAACGTTGTTTTATTCGATGTTTTTATGTAAATTTCTCATCTGTATCCAGAGGTTGAAGCATTTTCGTTATTTAAATTTACATGCGCAGGACTATTTTATGATACCGATCTCAAATGATACTTTCCCATTTTGCAACTTGTCCGCTTCGTTATGCTTAACCACGATGTAGTGCCGTTTGTTGATTAACCTGTATTGTTCAGATGTTCACTGTACTTTTGAATAGCATCATGTCATTTTATTAAATCAGAAATATGTACTGTGCTGAAAATAAAACGTCGAGGGATCGGTTCAGAATGCGCCTTTCTTCAAAGCATGAATAGACATCAGAAAAACAATGTTGGAACAAATGTTTTTTGCACTCATGTCTTTTCGGAATGATAATCCTTTAACTTATAGATTATCTCCACAATGACTGATCGAAATGATGCTTTAAAGAACATATATGATTTTCCAACACTTGCGTCTATTGAGCGCTTTCCGTTGCCATTAATGGATTTCATATTGTCTCTCGACGAGATTTTACCACTCAATTTACCCAATCGATTAGACCACCTAGTCAAAATTGTAAAACAATCTTTTGAAGTTGACATTGAACCCCACCGCATGTTCGACATGTTATCTGTTCTGAAACAGCCAGTTATGGGCGGAAAAAATCTCTTGCATCACAACAAAAATCTCGAATATGAGTTAGGCAAATACGCATCAAATGTGCAAAATTTATGCGCACTTCCAAGATCAACATCTTTTTGTACAAAATTTGTTTTGCAGCCGAGCTCGGATCGATGTCCACAGTAATTATATATCAATATTATGTTTCGCGAGGAATTTGCTCTTCATCTTTCTCGTTTAGATGTAACAGATCTCTTTCTTCTTGGTCGAAATTTCGAACAGTCACACTCTATTTAGCGAACGGAAATTCGAAAAAAGCGACTGTCGTCAACTATGTTTGTAAATCCAATCAATGCTCACTGGAAATTTTTCCGAATTTTATTGTAAATGTATCAAAAAATGAATCATATTGCTTTACCAACAAAGAATTGATGTCTAGTTCGAATTACATATACCTGGGTGGTCAAACAGCATTTGAATCGTTGGTGTTTCACCAGTATTCTGGCTTATTAAGGTAATAAATTGATTTATCAATGTGTTCGTGTTTTGTACGTGAAGAAATTCAAACATCCCAGGGCGCAAAAAGAGGTTTAAATAGATTTTAACTATTCAACTCATTGCCATGAGATA